CCCCAAAACCCCAAAACCCCAAAACCCCTGGTAAGATTTAAAAAATTGAGTGAATATTCCTTTTAGTTATAATATAGCCGAGGATTCCTTTAGAATAATCGACTAACTTAGCATTCTAAATCCTTGGATACATTTGTACGATGGTTGATGCTTGATGAGCACTCATGCTGTCAAACACACTTATGTCTCTAAAAGTTAGGCAAAATTACTAACTCTTCTTCAGAAATTTTCCTCCTCTTATTTGGCATTGAGTATGAGGATATAACTCGAGACTCAATGGACGATAGCGATGGGGGTAGCTTAGGTGAATCTATTTGATATACACAACTGCGAGCTTACCTTTCTCTGCTTCAATTTCCTCTTTTACTGGAGATAATAATGTAAGGAACCTTGGATTCGCGATTTGAGGATTTCTCATACCTTTTTCAGTGAAGAAATTAGGACCTCTTCAGAAAACTCCCATTCTTCTCTTTCTAGGCCGGCAATTTTTAAAAATATCTTCTAAGACTTCACAGTCCAGCTGAAGCCTTTAGCTTCCATTCTCCATTTATTTCTGCAGCTTCTCCTGTCTCTTCTTTAAAGTGTCTGGACTAGGCTTAGATTTCACCTTTTTATCTGCTTTCTTATTCTGCTTAAATGGTAGCTTCTCTTGAAGCCCAAATTTGCTAATAACTGCACAAGCCGCAACATCTAAGAGCATAAAATAAACATCTTACTCGAATCAAACGCCTTCATATTCCTCACCTACATCAAATCAGATCTTTTCAGTCTAAAACCCCCCAAAACAACCATTTCCTCCTAAACCCTCCCAACCCTCACCCTCCCAGACCCAAAAACCCCCTCTCCATTCAAAACTCCCCTAAACCCCCTTCTCCCCTACTTACCATAGCCATTCTCGCTTTCTGTGACGCCTTCAACAACTCTGCCTGGTCTATACCCAAAATCAGCTAATTCCCCTCCAGCACCCCAAACCACCCAAATTTAGGAAGGATGGCGACTTTTGGAAGAAACTTACCGCTGGTCTGGTCGTGATTTTGGATGTTCATTTGTGGTAGAAATTAAACTGATTATTATAAATTAGCGCTCTAGGTATTTAAGCATAACGGGGTTTTGGGGTTTTGGGGTTTTGGGG